CTTTCATCCAGAGGGTGCAACTAACAATGTTGGAAAAGAGACTCTCTAATCTTTCTAATTTCTGAATGTGTTTCAGGGCAGTGGCGTGGCCCTAAAAACACACACTAGTGGATTTTATAAGAGACTAATCAGTAAACCTGACACTACATCTTGCTCTGGAGTTGTGTCTTGGAAGATGAAAGCAAGGGGACTATTACCATGCTCCAGTGAACCTGGGAACTGGTATTACAGGATCGTCTCCTATAGCTCTGTTGAAAACAGAGTGTTAGAAGTGCAAAACTACCTCATGTACAACAATGGGCCACTGGGTAATGGTGGTAAAGCCCCGTACCCTCCCACTGGAGCCACACTGTTTAGTGTCTAATGATGCCTGGAAATGCTCATCATATAGCGTAAATGGAAAAACACACACACACACACACACACACACACACACACACACACACACACACTATGTATACACAATATGACTCTGACTATGTAAAATCATTAAGTGCCCAGAAAAAACAGGAAGCAGATAAGCTAACATTTTAACACTAGTTATCTCTCAATGCTGGAGTCTAAGGTGACTTTTCCAGGACATGCACTGCCATAGAAGGTCTTTGCAGCAGTCTAAGATGGTATGATGATTCCAGCACTGCAGACCATAAAAGCACTGAGCCTGCCTCTAACTTGCTGTGTGACCTCAGAGGATGAATAGCCTCTCTGGGTTTCAGTGGCCTTTTACCCCAAGTCACAGGTAAAAATGCCAAATGCATCAGAACCATGGAGAGGGGCCTAGGCTGGGCAAGTGGCAGTCCATGAGCCACCTGTGGCCACCTGTAGATATATTTTAATTAGTCCCAAACATGTTTCTAATTTTTTAAATTCATTGTCAATGTTTAAAAATTAATAGATTCCAAGAAATTCAGGTTTCAATCTTCTCTTAAAAAGTTGTCACAATAGCCAAAAAGTAGAAATTACCCAAATATCCATCAAATGCTAAATGGATAGAACAAAATGTGCTGTTATCTATGAAATGGAATATTATTCAGCCATAAAAAAGAATGAAGGCAAAATATATGCTACTATGTGGATGAACTTTGAAAACATGCTAAGTGAAAGAAACCAGTCACGAAGGATACATGTTGTATGATTCTATTACATACATGAAATGTCTAGAATAGAGAAATCCAGAAACAGAAAATAGACTGTAGTTGTCAGTGCTGGGGGAGGGGCAGTGGGGAGTGACTGCTTAATGGGAACAGGGTGATGGAAACTTGCTGGAATCAGTACTGAAGACTGCACAACACTGAACCACTGAATGTCCACTTTGCAATGGTTAAAGTGGTGAATTTTACGTTATATGAATTTTATCTCACAAAAATATTGGAACAGCAGACCTCTGTGGGTGGCATTTCCACGTGATGCTCTCCTGCCTCTGGGCACCAGGTGCCTTTCCCCAGCTGTGCTCCCACCTCTGGCCAGCTCCTAGTCTATGCTGCCTGTAGGTGTGTGAGAACCCCAACTGCTGGACGTGGTCCTGCCCCATCAACAGGAGAATCTCCAGCTCCCCATAAGGGTCGTGTCCCTGGCTCAATCAATATACTCAGTTCCAGGGCAGAGCCCTATCCACCAGCCAAAGGAAGGGCTGGGCAAACTTGTTCATTTAAAAAATATCTATTTCACCTCTCCCAACCAGCTAATACAAGCAGTAAAAAAGGGGTAGAGAGGGAAAAGTCTGTCTCCTTCCCACCACCCTGGCCCCCAAAGCCCCTCCCCAGAATCAACAGCTGACTCAGCATAATTTAATCTTAATCTCACCTGGCTCCTGGGGTAACCACATTTTTTTCTGGGCATTGAGAAAACTACCCATCAGTTTAATGATCAATTATAGTTCTGAAAGAGACTGACAGTCTTTCCTGAAGAACATTCTATCCATAACTTAAGGTGGCTAACCCTTTACAGAAGAATTATTTTCTAGATTTAAAAATAAAGTCAAGCCACTCTCTAGAAGGGCCTGCTGTTCCCATAAGCAGTGCTGAGTAGGCATTTCCAGTAGACCTGCCTTTGCTGTCCCCAGCTGTGCTCAGCAATACTTTACACCACGGGCTCTCTGTAAAGGGCACAGCACACAGGCCATGGACCATGTGAACCAAGTTCCTGACAGCTCTGGTGCTGGCCTTCAGTGAGTGAGAACTGTGGACCATTTGGCCTAGAGTTTGCCCCAAGGCCCACAGGGCTCTTGCCAAAAGAGATGTGGGGCTCTGCCTGGGTCCTTGAGGCCAACAGCATCAAGGACATCTGGGGCCAACACTGCCTTCTGGACAAGTCCAAGCACTTGGCAAGGCTGCCAGGCCCTGAGTGACCAGGAAACCCCCCTCCCTATCCCCCTTGACCTCCCTATCCTCCTCAGCCCCACCGCACTCTCCTGTTGCCCGATTTATACCAGGCAGGTCTCTGTACCTATGCCCACTGCACCACAGCATGCCCTCATGCCTCTCACAAGCCAAGCCTCTGCTGGGAACACCCTTGCCTCTTCCTGGCTTAGCCATT